GCACTGGCTCTGTCTGCCCCCTGGGAATAAACCACCATCTGGAAGTGAGGAAGTGCTCTCCTCTGGGGATAATCAGCCTCTGTCTGTTGCCTCCCAGAATGAATGAGTGGAGGCAAAAGTGACTTTCCCCATTAAAGGACAGACCAAATAAGTAACAACAGGAACAAATGGTACTAAAGAGTAAAAATAATACAATAAAAACATCTGTGAGCACCTGTGTACCAGAGGCTTGCCACTAACTAAATGCCGTGCTCATCTTGCTTATAAAAGTCATGGAACTGATTTGCAAGTTAGATGTTACCCTTATTTCAGATGAGAAAAAGACTTGCCTTGCCCAATGATAAAACTCATAAGTGACTGAGCCAGGAGTTGGCACCCCCACACACAGAGGCCTCCCTTGGCAGCTCTGACCCCGCAGAAGTGGCCTGGGCGGTTGAGAACTTGGCCCAGAAGGCGTGTTGAGATGGAAGAGCAGTGTCTTCCAGGATCATCACTGGGGTCCAGGGGGAGCTGCGTACTTGCTGGCTGCTTACAGCCTCAAAAGGTGACTCAGGGAAGAGAAGCTTCTTCGTCTTGATATATGAGATATAATTAAAAGATAATGGTAAGTATTCAAATTTTAAGAAACTGATTACTGGAGAAGACACGCTGCATTAATCTCCTTCAAAATACCTCCCCCAGTTTGAACTCGATCATCGCATCCCTCTTGCTGCTTTCTATAGTAGCTTTGGGGTCCTCTTTCATGAATATCTAGTTGCCCCGTTGTGACTTCCTTGATGTCCTGAGTCCATTCAAAACACTGGCTTTCTGTGGTTATTTTGACTTTGGGGAACAGCCAGAAGTCACATGGTGTCAGATCCCGTGAGCACGGTGCATGAGGACCCAGCTCCATGTCTTCCAATGTCTGGATGGCACGGGCAGCAGCATGGACTGTGGTTTTGATTTCATCTCCTAAAGACACTCAGGAAGGGGATTTCCAGAGCTGCTGCAGAAAGTGACAAGGATGATAAGTGTGTGTGACTCCATGAGAAATATTTTGAGGGAAATTACAGCACTGTGTCTCTCTACTGCAGTAGTTTTTTTAAAATTTAAATATATTCAGGTGGGTATGGTGATGCATGCCCATATTCCAGCACTCAGGAGGATGAGGCAGGAGGATGGCTGTGTTTGAGGTCAGGCTGGGCTACAAAGTGAATTCAAAGCCAGCCTGAATTCTGTAGCGAAATCCTGTCTCAAAAGCCTTTTAAAAAATCTTTTTTAAATATTCAGCTGTATATGTTGATTACACCCTATATATTTCGGTAATATGTCATAGTGATTTTGCTATAATCTAAGCCGCCTGGTTCCAAGCTGTGCAGTGGCTGCCATGTGCCAGGGGCAGACACAGTGGCTTCCCACAGATCACGGTCATCCCCTGCCCCTGCAGTCGCACTGTGACACCACAACAATGCGCCTTTGGCCGCAAACACATGGGCCCGACGGCTGGCACTGACAGGACCCCTGAAAAGTGCCACTGTCCTGCTGCTGAGTCAGCCTTATTGTTCTGGGCCCAGGGGATGAGCTGTGTCCAGATACGGGACAGTAGTAATATATGCTGTGTACTTGCTGCTAGCACTGTCGTGGGGACCCTGACCTCAAGACCTTCAGTGCCACAGTGCTCTGAGCGGGCCTCCCTCACCCTCCAACTGGTGGATCCCGAATTCCTCCTTATTTGAAGGCTATTTCCTCGGATACCATCCAGGACCATTGCATTGGTTAGAAGTAGGATATTGACTTTTGTCAGTTGGCACTTAAAAAATGCCAACAGACAAGTAACAGTTGAAAAGGTAAAATGCCTTGTGAATAGATTGGAAACTGGGTAAGCTACAGTGGCTGTTGAGGCCCAGAGGATGGAAGGGAAAGGACTATTGCAAGGGAACGGTCTTCAGAGTCACTGCAGGCAGAGCTTGCAGGCTGGCGCCGGGGCTAGTGAGGAGCCTGGGCGCAGCTGTTTCTGGATGTGGTGAGCTGGCACCAATGGAGAAGGGGCTTCCGAAGGTATACGTGATAAGTGAGGAAAATCAGAGATCTGGGGCTAGTGAGCAGAGGTCAGTGTGCTCTGAAGGTGTTTCATTTGCAGCTTTACTTATTTTTGGCTTTCATGAGTCACTAACGTTGTCCCTGCTGTATATGAAAAGCATCTAACTGGGGTCAAGTCATCCACTGGCTCAGTCTAGGACCCGATGCAGTGAATTCTGGCACAAAATCTTAACTAGCGTTCACCTGACTTCTACTGAAAATTAGATCTCCTGTGTTATGTCTGCCAGGATGCTTTATGTGTCTACACATAATGGAAAGCAAAATTCCAATCAGCTCATGTAGTGAAGAGGATTTATTACCTCCGAAGCAAATGGGGTTGAGGTGAGGTGACTGGAGATGGGTTCACTCATCAGCTCGGACGCTGTTGGTCATCTTTTATTTCTTTAAGGTCTAAAAATTTTGTTTTGTTTTTTAAGAGAAAAAAACCAATCAAAAGAGTGAAAGCAATACAGGACTTCAAACCAAAATGATAGAAAATCAACAATGGCTACCATAATGCCTTTTGTTATTTTCAATATAGGTGCCCATAACATCAGACATGATAAAATCAAACAAAACAGAACAGAATAAAACCAATCAAAAAAAACCAGTGAAAGCAATACAGGACTTCAAAACAACCCCAGCAGCCCTCACATATCACATTAGCCAGAATTGGTCATGTGCCCACCCTAAGAAGTAACTGCTAAGGAGAATAGGATACTAAACTGGCCTAGATAGTTAAGATTTACTCATGAACTAGAGGTACGATGGCTTTCCATGGAATCAAGTTGTAAGAACCTTAGGACTCTGTCAGTGTAAAGAATGGGAGAGGCCCTCAGCTCTTAGACAGGCAACCAACTCTGCTTGGTTTGGTGATTTGGACAACTTTCCACATTAAAATTTAACCATCATCCCAACAGGAAAAGACAGAACAGAAAACTTTGAGGAGGAATCAGTGATCTCCATTATTCTGCTTTCCCAGTGAAATCCCAGCCCCTGTCCCCAAGTTAGAACCACTGAGGGATTGCAGAGGCTTAGGTCATTCCACAGGTTAGCCAGATTTGTGTCTCTGTGACAAATACCTGTGGTAAATCAACTTACAAGGAAGAACTATTTATTTTGGCTCATAGCTTCTTGGCCTTGTTTCTTTGGGCCCGTCGTGGCCCAGAACGTCATGCATGGTGTACATGGAGATGCTCCATTCATCCTCATCACAGTGGCTGGGAAGCAGAGAAAGAAGGAAACAGTCCCAGCACGCAACAGTTCCCTCGGTGATCCCGCCTCCAGCAGACCCGCTCCTCAAAGGTTCCACCACTTCCCAGGAGCATCTGAGGCCTGGTGACTAAGCCTTCATCACATGGCCTGTGGGGCCCACTCAAGAGCTGAACCATAGCAGTCCTCTAGGAGAAGATGTTTATTTTAGATAAGAAAGTGAAAAGGAGCCAGCCTTGGAGTGAATTGTAGAACAAAGAAAGCTCCCCACTCACAGAAAATTGCATTTCGAAGGCCCTGAGGAAGAAACCTGAAAATATCTGAAAGGTCTGAAATGACTGGCCCACAGCCAGCAGAAGGCCACAAGTGACTGTGGACATGAGGTGAATTTATAGGTTCTCCAGAGCCTCTCAGGTTGAGTTAAGGAGTTAGGGGTTCCATTCTGCAGGGTGGGGTGAACCACTGAAGTATTAAAGGACCCACCGTAAGGTAACAATAGTCTTGTGTGTAGAGCAGAGCAACACTATTTCTAAAACTGCAGACTTGACGGTTTTAGAGAAGCTGTGGGTAAAGACTTGGTTCGACTGACGGTAGCAAGCACTGAACTTCATCACTTCGATTCTGTGCCAAGTTGCCCAGTTGTTCTAGTGGTGGACACATTTCGTGGACAGGTCAAGCTAGTGCAGTGATTTATTCCAGAGAAACTCGTAAGATATTTTAAGTAAACGAATGCGTCTGTGTTTCCTCATGGGATAGCAAAAGAAAGCTCCATTTCCCAGTGGGGTAAGGCTGTCACTTAGTTCCACAGTGGTTTACTCAATTGATTCCTAAAATCACGCCTAGAAATGACAGGCGGAGGCCAGGCTGGGGCACTCCCCTTCCAGGGCTGACTGTGGCCTGCGTTCTTGGGGTTCACACTTCTGGGGTCCTCTCTGTGATGGAATCTGCTTGTGCCAGTCACTGAGTCATTTCTCCCTTTCTTTGTATTACTGAGCCAGTGCATTCCAGAATGTTCTTATTGTCTAACAGGAGACTGGGGAGAAAAATCATATGCAGTGTAAAATTTGCTTCCGGAGGAGTTCCTCATACTTCCGATAGTCTTGCCCCTTGTGGGCACCCTCTGTGCACCCCCGGCCTCCGTGGAGGCCAGTGTACTGAAGGGCAGCATTGGGAGGTGGTGGCCTGTGGTTCTGGGGAGCTTAGGGCTTCCTCAAGGGGGTCCCTTTGGGAGAGGGCACATAGCTCAGCCTGGGGGACCCTCCTGCTGGCTTCTTCCAGACAGGGCACAGCCGTTGAGAGGGGCCACCTGGAATAGTAGCTTGGGTCCAGCTGCAGGGCCCAAGTGACCAATCCAGATGCAAAGTAACAGCGGGCTTATGGAAGGTAACGGATTGCCAGGGAGGGGAGCCCCTGGGGCTCAGAGCTTGCCTGACTGCATGGAGCTCCCCGAGGAAGAGCCATTCAGGGGACCATGAAGGTCATAGCTCCTGGAGGATCCTGCTCCGGCTGTGTCATGCTCCGTGAAGAGTGAGTGGGTCCTGCATGGTCTTCAGAACCAGGCACGGATAGCTGGGTTTCCTCTCGTTTACCCAGCATGCAAAGATGCTGTCAGCTAAACGCAAATCACTGTGATTGTTGTGCGTCGATTTCTAGCTGCTTCTCAAAGTATGGTGAGTGTCAGAAGTGAAATGATTTCCCTAACCATTGTTATCTTCTTTTTTCACATGAAGTATATTCGGTGCTCTTCGAACTGGTGCTTACATGTTGTACATTCTGATGACCAAAGGCCTGAAGCAGTCGGTCTGTGACCAGAGTTTTTACAACGGGCCCGTCAGCAAATTCTGGGCTTACGCATTTGTGCTAAGCAAAGCGCCAGAACTAGGTGAGTGTCCCCCAGCCCCCAGCCAGCCTCTCTTACACCCTCACATCTGCGGTGTTTATTTAAACCTATGCAAGGCATCAGTCTGAAAGTCTCCCTCTGTTGGTCGAAGGAAGATTAGTCCGAATGAGCAGACTTCGAATTTGTCCTTTCTCTTTCTATCTCCCGCCCTTTCATGCAACTGCATTGTGTGTATTAATTAACAGCTGATGAGCTTACACAGGACGGCCGGCTTCCAAGCACTGCTCCACATGCAACGGGTGGGGGTGGGGAGCTAGGAAACACGCACAGCAGGCTCTCAGCTTCTCTAACTGCTGAGCTGATGTTGGTGAGCGGCCCTGCTACTTCAGCCCACAGTTCAGTGTGCTTTCATCTTTCGAGTTGAGGTTCCGATTAGCAAATTGAACTTCCATTTGGGTGTCCATGTGTTCTCCTTATCAAATGCTAATTGTGAGTCTCTGTGCTGTCTGATTTTAATCATGGATGATGCTGGCCCCAGGGAAAGGGAATGTAGTTCACCTTCTAAAAGTTGAACAGGAAATTCTTTTTTTGTTGTTGTTAGCTTTTTGTTTTTTTGTTTTTGGTACCAGGGATTGAACTCATGTCCTAGCACTTGACAGGCAAGCACTTAAGCCACCGAGCTAAATCCCTGGCCCAACAGGAAATTCTAACTGAACATATGTGTAGATTTCTAGGGTTTTTCATATTCCTGTGTCATCACAGGAATCCACCGGCGTGTGGCTCAGTGGCCTGCCTGTCTACTAGTAGCTGGCAGTTGTCACCCAGGTCAAAGGCAAGAGCAGGACAGCAGTAGAAAACTTGACCTTAAGCCTTTCCAGGCTGAGCACTGTGGCACAGACCTATAATCCCAGAACTTGAGAAGCTGAAGCAGGAGGATCATCATGGGTTCAAGGCTAGCCTGTACATTCAGAGATATAAGCCCCCTTTTTTTGTTTTGTTTTGCTTTGCTTTTTGTTTGATTTTTTTTTTTTTTTTTTTGTGCCAGGAATCAAACTCAGGACCTTATGCTTGCCAGGCAGGCACTATCCCACTGAGCCGTATCCCCAGCCTCTAAGCCTTTCTTAAGAAGGGAAGAGGTCCAGAGAGAAACCCTTTGTACTGTCCACAGTAGCTAGGTGACTATTGTGTGTGGGCATCATACATGCCATCTTTGAACACATTAATATAAAAAGGCATTAATGTAGATTCATTCATTTACTCAGTAAATTTATATATTTCTGTTAAGCATCTGCCATCGGCCAGACAGTTAACAGAGCTAGAATAGAATGGCTCCCTTACCTGAAAGCATTTTCTGATGTGAATATGTTGAAACAGGCTTCTGGAAGCTGATTTTTATATTTGTTTTTGAGATGAGTAAGGGCAAAGTCTTAGGCTAGAGAAATAATTTTCAAACTTGGACCTCCATGCACAGTCCCTGGAAGCTTTTAGGGATTATTCCATTCTCTGAGGATATTGTCATAACTGTTTTGTCACTTGTAGATAAAGTAAGAGATTGTCTTGCCAGGTATATTTCCTCTATAGTGACCTTTTAAAAGAAACCTAGGTATATGAGGTTTCTGAAGCAAAGCACTCATTCTCAAAGTTTGTCTAAGAGAATATGAGCTTTTATATACTTTATTCCTGGGGTTTTGTGACACTTTCATTAAGTTCCTGCATTACTAAAATTGAGGCTTCAAGTTTAGAACTATGTCCCCTGGTTTTCTTTTATGCTGTATAATAAGAGCCTTATACAGACAGGACCGCCACCGCCACCCCACCAAAACACACACATCTCTGTAATCCTGGACTGGCTGCGGCTTCCTGAAGGCATGCGAGTCCTGGTTTGTCTGCCTCTTACTGCTTTCAGCAGAGTTTGTGCAAAGTCAGATGCAGCATCTCACTTCTTCCTCTTAAGCCCCTGGGAAAGCACCCACCACAGCCTTTGGTCCTGGCGAGGACTTTTCTCTGAATGAATTCTGTGCCCTGTGTTTGCCCAGTTCTTTTTGGGCGACTTGAGATTAAAAGTGGTCCCTTCTATCCGAGAGCCACCTGTGCTATCCACAGAGGTCAGGTCCTTCAGCCCCATGGCCACACCTCTGCCCTCTGCTCTTCTGATTTCCAGCGCAAATCCTCTCAGAGGCACAATAGAAGGGCACACAGAGCTGGAATTCCTGGGAACTGGCATCCGCCTCGCCCTGGAGCAGCTTGGCCCCACCACGCCAATCAGCAGGTCGCACTCCCTCTGCAGACAGCGGACCGGGCTGTCTCCTCCCTGAGCCCCAGTCTGTGGCTCGCAGCCACTCATGGCCTGAGTGGGCACAAACTTCCCTCCCAGGAGAAGTCCATGCATTGATCCTGCATCCTGTGCTTTCCCAGTCCTGGCACTGGGGCTGGAAGACTGCAGGGGAAATGCCCTGACCTTGACATTGTCTTCATACACTTCTGGATTCTTTACAGAGGTGGTTTTGTGTCTTATACCTTCTTTTAATTTAAGGTAACTTGGGAGCTTGATCAACAGCAGCCTTGCCAAGGACCCACTGAGCTGACTGCTGTGAGGTCCAGGGAAGGGGGTCTCTGAGGCGGCCACTGGGCCCCGTCCCTCACACCTGTCCCCAGGTGCCCTCGTGTGCATTTGGGGGTTAAATTCCTTCCCAGTTCCTGCCATTTAATTTTACAAACTCTTAACCATTTGAATTACTTAGAGCTTAATTTTAAGTCCCAGGTTCTGCCTTTCAATATTTTGAGATGCTGGACTCCCTTATAGAATACCAGAAAGAAAAGATTTTACAAGACAAAGGGAACAAATCCTCCTACACAGAGTTAGTGATGAAACTGTGCCATTCCCTGCCAGAATCACAGCTACAGTCACACTAAACTCTTCTTCTTTAAACAGCAGTCAAGTACACGTATTTACGTTGCTGTGTGACCATCACACTGTCCGTCTGCAGGACTTCTACATCTCCCCCAAAAGAAACTATGCATCTCAACCTGTCAGCTCCCCGCTTTTTTCCTTTACTAAGCTCTTACTGATAGCAAAAAGCATTCTCTATTTCCGCAGAAAACAGCAAGCTTGTTTCAGTGAATTTTAGGGTCACTTTCTCCTGGAACCAGGGAGAGAAGAGCCCAGCTGCTGTGCTCTGTGTGTCAGGTCCTTGGTGGCTGCTGCCACGGTGACATTTAAAGCTGCTGAGATTTGCGTTTGTGAGCTCAGAGCTAGGTCCTTGCTCGGGGGAGCCCTGTCATTGTTTCTGAAACCGACTCAGCAGCACTCAGCTGACCATGCAGGGGCAGCTGTCTGTGATAAGCCACACACTCAGCGTAGGCCCTTCGTGGCTCATGGTGGCTATGAGTGCCCTGGGCCAGAGGACGCCCTGCAGATGCTAATCGGCCCACATACCACAGCAGGTGGCCCTCAGGAGGGGCACTGTCATGTGAAGACGCCACACTTGACCCTGGATGGACAGGAGCCAGACCAGAGTGAGCGTGACGAAGAGATCCTGAACCAGGAGGAGGGAAAGCTAAGCCAGGTGCCATGGCCAGACCTTTGAAAGTCCAGAGCCTTATGCTTTGTGCTTGGCTGGAATGTGTTCCCCAGGGCCGGCTGGCCACTCGGCCTGGCAGGATTGGTTGACCAACATCAGATACACAGTCCTCTGGATCGTTTGCGTTTCTGGGCCTCTAGCTTCTGGCAAGCCAGTAAATAAATGCCAAGTGTTGCCTGCTGTGGCTCAGGACAGTGCGATGTTACGTGGTGTCTGCAGAGGAAATCTAATGTGTAGCTGGTGGGAACTGATGCGCTCAGCTGCAGGGCAGAGACCATGAGCACTCTTGGCTGGCCTTCTAGAAGTTTCTCTGGGCCCACAGCCTTGAGGATAGTGACCTTCGCATGGCTTTGGAGTGGGGCTGCTGAGTGTCTTCCTTCTCCTAGTTACCAGCCAGCATGGTGTTGTGAGAAACACTAAGTGGATTCAGGTCAGTCCTGTCTTCAGGATTTCACAGATCATCCTTTCCTTCCAGTCCACGGCACTCCACAGAGCCATAGAATCACCTCGGATGTTTTGGGTCCAGGCCGGGACATGCCAGTTCCACACCCAGGCAGGAGGAGCACAAAGCAGTCCTCAGCTCCAGAATCCTGGGTTCCCTGCCTAGTCCACAAAAGCTTTCTTCATCACTCTGCAGACTGTGAAATTTTAACTATAAGAGTGGTGATGGAGTTAAATTAAATCTAAAGAGTTAGGATGAAGTGCTTATTACTGTACAGCAAATAACTTTTGTTGCACCGTGTTCAAATGTTGTATTGGGTTTATGTTTTAGTTGATACTCAGAGACTCAGATCTTTTCAATTGTGAATGACTGCAGTTGATTGTAACATAAAATGTGTTTGATGTCCACTTCTTTCCACTGTGAACATAGTTAGGCTGGGATGATTGTCCAAGTTGTCCAAGATGATAGCTTATAAAGAGAAGGGAGCCCCTGAGCAGTAATTACTTGAGAACAGTGGGTCTCTGCTAGGCAAGACCTAAGTAGCACAGTTTGACACTGAGAAGTGTACCCCAGGCCTCCTGATAGCAATTGGGGGGCCATGACGTACAGCAAAGGTGACCATCAGCATCCTCATCAGCCTGCTGAGTCACAGACAGATAAAAACCAGGCACTCCGTGCCAGACAAGAGGATTTCAGTGTAAGTTTTAGAATAGATACAGAACTATAACACCTATTGCTATTCAGTTCTAAACAAATATCAAGTAATAATGTTTAATAATACAATAGGGAACTAAACCAATAATAATGAACAGAAAGGGAGGCCAGGAGTCATTCTGTGCTTGGCATCGGAACCTCGGTGATCTTTCCAGGACCCAGTAGGATCTGAGCGTTCCTAGGGTCAAGCATTTGAGGCCCTCCTCGAAGTGAGATGGAAATAAGTGCCACTCCCTTTGAGCTTAAACAAACATCAGAGTAAGAATAAGGACCTTCTGGTTTTCTTACACAAGTGGAGATCAAGCATGAGTTCACGGGAAGCACCCATGGACTTTGCCCATGTCTGATAACAGTCGATAGCAAGAAAGCAGCCCTGACCTGTGGTGTAAAGCCCTTTCCGGACCACGGAGCAGCATCTCAGCCCTGTCTGTCTTCCTCATTCATGGACTTGGGTGAGCTGGTTCCTGGGTTTGCTCTACATCCATTTTTACATAAATGTGCTGCATTATGTATTTTTCAGAATCAAGGAATAGAAAAATCCTTGAGGTGTGGACCTCGTCCTGCCTGAGCATAATGCTTGTTTTTAGTCTGTAAATTCCCAACCTCAGGAGGGCTGGGGATTTAGCTCAGCGTCATAAGCACCTTGCCTTGCAAGTGGGTGGTCATGAGTTCGATCCCCGGTACCGATTAAAAAAGAAAAAGACCAAAAAAAAAAAAAAAAAAAATTCCCGACCTCAGATGCACCAGTCGGGTTCCTCACAAACTGTTAATTGTTAGGAAAATTTTTGGTAGATCCTGGAGAGCATTTTTACACTTTGACATTTTCTGTTTCTCCTCACTTGATTCCTCTCTTCTCAGCAAATGCGTGTCCAGGATCATTTGTCCCAGCCCGTCCCGTCCGGTCTTGTCCCTCCACCCATCTTCTGTTTGTATTTCACTTGCTTGTTCCCTAACTTTAAGAGCTTCAACTTTTATGGATGTTGCACAGACTGTGATATGAGGGGTACACTTTGTCACGGGCCGAAGGAAAATTATGGTTCTAAACTCAAGAAAAGTCTTAAAATCCTTTTGCTGGAGTTTATGTTCCAACTTGTTTTTCAAACTTGTTTTCATTTGATACTGGGTGCTTAGCTAATTTCCCAGGCTAGTTTATTTGATTTCATTTTATTTGGGGACAGGTTCTCCCTGCATTGCCCAAGCTAGCCTTAGATTTGTGATCTTCCTGCTTCAGCCTTCTGAGTAACTGGGGTTATAGGCATGAGGTTCCCATTAGCTTAGTCTGTTTCTCTCGACTGGTCAGTGACCTGAGACATGTCCCCTGTCCCCTTCCCGTGATACTCCCTGGGGTGTACAGCTGAGTTGAAAGTATCTCAAAAGTAGTGTGTCCTGCTGGCTTAACGAGGGTGACCATTGCACACTGATGAGCCTGATGACCCCTCGGCCGCCCACGCCACTGTTAATCATCCCCATTTTGTAGCTGAGACACCTAGAGCGTTACGAGGACAGGCAGCAGGCCTGAGGTCGGAGAGCGGGAGACAGCAGTACATGGCCTCCGTGTGCTCTCAGCCCCAGCCAGGTGGCCGGGACTCACCTGCCTTCTCCCGTCCCTGTCTTGCAGGAGACACGATCTTCATCATCCTGCGGAAGCAGAAGCTGATCTTCCTGCACTGGTACCACCACATCACTGTGCTGCTGTACTCCTGGTACTCCTACAAGGACATGGTGGCCGGGGGCGGCTGGTTCATGACCATGAACTACGGCGTGCACGCGGTCATGTACTCCTACTACGCGCTGCGGGCCGCGGGCTTCCGCGTGTCCCGCAAGTGCGCCATGTTCATCACGCTCTCCCAGATCACACAGATGCTGATGGGCTGTGTCATCAACTACCTGGTCTTCTACTGGATGCAGCAGGACCAATGTCACTCTCACTTCCAGAACATCTTCTGGTCCTCGCTCATGTACCTCAGCTACCTTGTGCTCTTCTGCCGTTTCTTCTTCGAGGCCTACATTGGCAAAATGAGGAAGACGGCCAAGGCCGAATAGTGTCGGAACTGAGGAGCAAGCCACAGCTCAGGGTCACCACGAAAACTAACAGACAAAAGAAAATGGCACAAGGAATCCCACATGGTGCAGCTACAACACCACACCACACAGCAACACACGAGCAGACACGAACCCCAGGCAGCTTAGGATAGTTAGGCTGACTTACCCACTAAGTTTATGATCCTTCACGGGTGAGGACTTGCTGCGTGCATCTCCATCTCAAAGCTCCACTGCTGGAAGACCCCACCCCGTCCCTCACCTGCCCACTCAATGATGACACAGTGATCCTCGGCCCAGAGATGCAGAGAGAGCAGGCGCAGGCAGTTAGGGCTCGCTGGCGGGAAAAGGTACCTGTGTCGCATTCCTAGCTCTGCGAGCACCCTTGAGCGTGCACACATATGCACGCGCGCACACACACACAATCCTTTCTAACCCTTTCCAACACAAAACTGGAGCCAGAAAAGGTAGTAACACGAGAGACACAGGGTCTGTATCTAGAACAATAATGCTTTTGCAGAAATTCATGCCTTTTGCAGAAAGGTTAGCTACTGTAGCTCCATGAAAGATGTCTTAATCATTTTTTATTTCCACTAGAAAAGAGATGGATGCTTCCCCCTTCACTGCACAGCCGCGGGCTGGTGAGTTTGCCAAAACCACAAGGGTTCAGTGCTTTTCTGGGGCGCCCAGACCCATGCCAGGGTATGCCCACGGTCTCCACTCTGAAGAGGCAGGAGGCATTTCCTCGCCCCAGACTCGAATGCAAGAGCAACTGCAGAAAGGAGAAGGTGAGAGCACCTCAGTGGCCTGCCGTGGAGCCCCACTCCCTGCTGCAAGCTCGCCGTGCTCTGGCTGCAAGAGGACGGAGACCTCCAGGACACAGCTGGGGCATTTTGTGCCCTTCCGTCACTTCAAACAGGGTTCCGCCTCCGGATGAAGCTTTGTGGTCCGAGTTTAAAAGCTTGCGGGGGGGGGGGGGGGGGTTAGGAGCTCTGCCAGGGTCGGTAAAGACACCGTTTCCCCAACATCTGCCTGGACTCCCCACACAATGCTGCGGTGTCCAGAGCGCCCTCTGGTGGCTTCGGGGGGGAGACTGCAACCCACCTACGTCCCTGTCGACCATAGATGAATCCTTCAAGTTTTAAACGCTATCAAACATCCATCCTATCTTTGGCCAAATATGAAGACATCTTTCCTGCTTCAAGTGAGCGTCAAGAAAAATTTTTAAAAGGGACTTTTGCTCTGGAACTCAGAAAATCAATTTATTAAGAGCCATATTCTTTTAAAAAAATGCTAGATTATATTATCTATAATATTTCAGGCCTCTACAAGCCAAATAAATGTGTCAATGTTACTAGTATTTCAAAGAAGCAATTATGTAAAGTTGTTCAATGTGATATAATAGTATTATAATTGGTTAAGTAGCTTAATGATTAGGCAACTAGGTGAAAAGATTAGGGGCTACTACACTGCATAGATTACACACGAGTAACCACACATACACACACACAGGTGGAGTTCAGTGAACCCTAAAGCCTAAATGAATAGGAATACATTTTCTGGCTAGCAGAAACTTTTATCTTTCTTGCTTTATTTTGGGAGTGTACAGTAAAAGGGATTTTTCAAATTATTTTTATATTATTTTAGCTTTAATTGTGTTGTCATTCATGAAACAGTAGCTCTGCTTCTCTGTCAGAGATGGCAAGAGCTTTCTCAGCATCTTGTTTCTGTGTGGAATCTAAAAAGAATAAAGTTTTATTCCATTCTGTGTGAATGGCCTGAGCTGTGCACAGGGAATCCACGTAAAGCAAAAGGAGGCCAGGGAGGGCCAGGGCTGCAGGGGAGAAGCAGCTCCATCCAGGCGATGGGTGCCTCTGTGGGACCCCAATGTGGGCTCCCAGCAGGGATGCAATTGGCCCAGAGATGTAGTATCGTTGGGGCAAAGTTTGGACCTGCAGTGCAAAGATTGGTCCTGCTACGACCAAAAGACTATTAGATCACGATGTTTCTTGGAGCTTCACAGCTGCCTGATACTGTATAATAAGCCTTTTTCTTCCCCTTTATTGCAGGAAGTGGACAGAATAATTAAAATGAAGAAAAGGCCGCATATCAGTTGGCTTGAGTTAATAGAAGGATCAGTTAGAGGCTCATCTGGGTGATTTAATTTAATTATTTGATATGGTGATTTATCATGGGACGCAGGTTAAAGCGAGATCAGCAGAAACCATAAAAAGACTCCAAAATGATGCTTCCAAAGCACTTTCATCTTGGTATTAGGTTCATGCTTGTGTTCATTTGTTAAGTAATTTAGAATTTTTGTTTACAGATTGAATGTCTAGTAGTTTTTATCCAGCTATCTATATCTAAAGGCATTTCTGATGCTTATCATGGGAAGAAAGCCACACATTTTTTAAAAAGTCTAGGATTGCAGGTTCTGTACACTGTTTTTAATGTCTCGGCTTTCTGCTTTAATTCTATGAAGATCTGAGGCTAGATCCCTGGCCCATGACCAATCTGAAACCTGCCAGAGAACCGACTGCCAAATAGAGAATCCTGTTGTCTGTTAACATTCCAGAAAACCTTGGGCAGGCAACTTTTTATAGCTGCCCCACTATGCTGCAATAGATTGTCTTTCTATTAAAGATTTTCCACTGCATTCCAGCCCCAGTGCAGTGAAAGCATCATTCCTGGATCAAATACAAAATCCTTGATTTCCTATATACATATATATATATAACGTTTCATGCACTCTGGGCTTAAACTCAAATGCATGAGTTTGCAAAGAAATCCTAAGTGAGACATGCCCTGTTCATGCAGCAGGGGACTTTATATCTGGGCCAGCTAGTGTTGCCTATCAGAAAAGAACAACTATTATAATTTATTTATTGTATTTATATCCAATGCTAGGCCAAAGTACCAAATTGAAATCATAGATTAAGGTTACTATTCCAGGTAATTTATTCCCACTTTTTTCTAATCATATGCACTACAAAACTGGGTTTGGGGCGACTACATGTTTGTGTGTTGTGTGAGGAGAAAGAGGCTGTCTCTGTCCACCTAGAAAGGCCCGTTTGTCCAGTGACTGATAGCTTGGCTTAGTTGGAAACCTTGAATATAAAAACATTAGGAACCTGAAAGAACCCTGGAGGAGGCAGACTCAGATTGCCTGTGTAATGGGCCGTGGTACCCTGTGGTAGCACAGAGTCTGCGCATCCGAGAAACAAAGCTTCTGAAGATTACACTGGAGTCAAAGGCTCCAAAAGTCCAGGTGTACCCCCAGAGTACTGAGTTACCCGGGAAAGGCAAGTTCTCAGGCTGTTTTCTTTTCTCTTAGAACAAGCTCTATCCCGAGACAGTGTGTGTCCAGTGAATCAGCTACAGCACATACCGAGGGGTCTTTTACCCCCAAGTTTGGACAGTGTTCTTACAGCGTCTTTGGGTTGACCAAAAGCTGCTTCCAGGGACCTGCCAGGATCATGGAGGAAAGCAGATGGACTCCACCTCCCAGAGCTCAGAGCCTTTGAGTTGTGTGACCACGGTCCCTACTGGTCTCACTTAGACGCGCCCTGAAGAGTGACACAGCACACCATGATGCCAGTCCAAAACTTTGCAGTAGTCCGGTGTATCTTTCCCCAATCTTTCTGTCTTTGGTAATAAATATTTTGCTATTCACATGGGATGCTGGTAGAGCTTATTCTGTTCTGTCCTCGTCTCCTCCGCTCTTGAGAGGTCTCCTGCCCCTTTTATATTTCCATAAAACACCCAGTCCTTTGTGCCTCACACTCATTGCCAGCAAAGAGGAATTTGCTAAGAATGCAGCAGAGCATTTCCCGTTGGTGCACGAGTGGAGCACCCTGCTTTCCATGGGTGGTCAGGATGCAGTGCTAGGCCTCGGCTTCCGCATGCTGGTTCCCCAGTGCTGCAGAGCAGGTCAGTACAGTCCCAGCATCTTGAATGCCCATGGCAACAGCTGCAGTTACAAGCATGTGGGGCCTGCAGCAGAATCCGTAGCTGAAGAGCCCAGTTAGAATCCTGTGCCAAGCAGCGAGATCCTTCCTGAGCCTGTAGAGTCCTCGGGTCCCTCTGCTTTCCTGAACCTGTAGAGTCCTCGGATCCCTCTCCTTTTCCTCAGATACCTGGAGCAGTCAGGGCCCCAGGAGAAGGGAGGGAAGTGCCCTGGCCTCCTGGTGTCTTAAAGTGAGGGCTGTTGTTCTGGCAGTGCAGAGCAACAGGGACCGCTCAGCGGGCTTGGGGAGGGCTCAGCAGCAGCACTGTGATTCAAGTCCCAGTCAGGTCCTTATCACAGAGCTCCTCGCCCACTGCACTGTGAGCTCTTCCCAAGGGTCAGTTAAAGACGCCAGGGCCAAGTGACACTATCCAGCCATTTAAGACACAACTGTGAGGCCAGATTCCTGTTGGTATTTAAGTGCTGTGTTTTCCCAGTGCTTGGTGGCACTGGGGGCTTTTCCTCCCAATGGACAAAACTCAACATGCCTACACAAGGGGCCTAACAATGCTTCCTGGCCTGTGGTTGTGGCTGTGTCAGAGCGACCTGCAGCACTCAGGTCGTTCCAGCCACTCCCAGCCACACTGGGAACCAAGGAACCTGGTCTGTTCAGAGGGAGACCCGCCTGTCCCAGCCTCAGCAAATCCTGGCGATGTTGGAATTGTTATTTTTGAGTCTTATTTCACAACATTAAAAGAAATATTTTTTGGCATATTAAGGTTAAAACAATAAAATCATACTTGATTTGAAACCCAGCTGTGCTTTTGGTTGCTATTATCGCCTGTTTTCTGGGCAGTTTAGTGGGAGTCCTGGGTCCCTTGGGGTCCTCAGAAGCACTATGAGCTTCCCACACTTGCTACCGGTGTGCTGGGCGGCCTGGCAGGACCAGCAACGACGTCCCCAACCCCTCACCACGAGTGCGTGGGTCCTTGCTGGGTGTCACTTTTTGTAGGTGACTCGCTTTCCACCTTACCCTCCCCAGAGCAGGCTTCAGGGGGTAGATGATCTGCACTGGCTCCCAGTTTTATAGGTGGGGAAAATGCACTTGCTAGATCCAGAGTGGCAGGTGGAGGAAGAAAAAAAGAGCTGAATGAATGTAAAATCCTTATCCTCCTCAGCCTTTCAGTCTTCAAAAAAGCAATGGAAATAAACACAGGGTCCAGTACTCTGCCTTGAGCTTTGCCGTGATAACAGACAGTGTTGCAGGACAGTGAGGAAAAGGTTTAGGAAGTCACTCTCAGATATATGGATACCAATGTCATAGCAGCAGGGGCCACCTGGCCACACCCTCCCCAGGCCTAAAGTAATCAGGCCTTCAAGTGGCACATCCTGATGGCGACTTTGGAGGCTCAATGGCTTGTGTCACTCCTGATGGCCCTTTGGAGCCTCCAGACAGGAACCACAGCACTTTTGCAATAACACTGATGGTTAAAACCCAAGAACCTGGAGTGCGTGGTTTTCCCCTGCCAAGTGATGTCTCTTTACCCTTCATCTGCAAATACACTGTTAAGATGATTTTTATTCCTTTTGGAGTCCACTTGGGATAAAATGGATGTATCCATAATATACACAAAATATTTGTATTAACTTCAAAATAGCAGGAAGGGACCAAGCCTTAGCAAGTGTTTTTGTTTTGATACCAAAGTCCCAGAAACATACAAGTGGCAGCCTCTTTTGTAACTTCTGACACATGTCTCAGGAATGGAAGCTTAAAATATGAATAAATTTATTAGTAAAGTGTGCAAGCACTTAAATCACAGTCTCACTAACAAAGATCCTGACTTTATGGTACTCCAAAGCTAAGAATTGTGTGGGTTTAGTGTTTTGATTTTTTGAGACAGAGTCTCACAATGCAGTTCAAGCTGGCCTCAAACTCACAGCAGCAGCCTCCCCGGGGCTGGGATTGCAGGCATGCACCACCATGCCCAGCCAGTGGTATGACTGAACAGTACAACAAGCATTTAAATTTTAAAAACTCCACAGTAAAAGATTCATTGCTTGAATTTCCCCTCCAGAGACTCCGCTCCCTTTCAACACACTGGCCCCGTGGTTTTCGCCTCTTCCTGAGACAGCTCTGAAGTCTTGCGAGCGAGCGGCTTTAGTTGCACTGTCCTGGCTGCCTCAGCATGCCAAATCAATTCAAAATGTTGACGTTTCATAGTCACGTTGACTTTAGGGAACAGCCAGAAGCCGCGCGGTGCTCGGATGTGAACACACCTTCTGTTGGATCACAATATGCAGCATGCGTAATATTTTTATCACACCTGGTAAAACCATGGAGGAAGAGGCCTTTCAGAGCTGCGTCAGAAAGGGCCAAAAGTGAAAAGTGTGTGCAAAGAGAGGGAGAGTATTTCTGGGGGACTTGTGGCTTTCACTGCAATAATTCTTCAGAAATTTAAACTCTCAATGTATACTTTGATCATGCCTCACATCACATAGCGGCCTTCCTAAGAAAGAAAACAAGAATAAGATCAGTATTCTAAACTTAAATAATGGCACTCTGGGCTGTTTGGGTTTTTTTAGGATGAGTAAAGTTGATGGGGTGTCGCATCCTACAGTCACAATGGAGATGGTGACCCCCCAGCCAGGAACCTGAAGGTAACTAAGAGGGCTCCCTATGGGCTACAGCTCCTCTCCAGACTGCAAGATCTGGCAGGTTTCAGTCCTTCCCTGACATTGCTTCCTAAGACCAAATGGGAGACTCTTAACACGGGCACAGCCAGACCCCACTACTGACCTGTAGGGGCTATTGTCTAATGTGTCACTCTGCTTTGACCCTGTGCTACAGCTTGGATCTGGAGTGTGCCCCAAAGGCTTCTGGGATGGGGAGGTCCTTAGATCACTAGAGGCGTGTCCCTGAAGGGGATTGTGGGAGTCCAGCCCCTCCTCTTCCTGTCTGTTGCTTCCTAGCCCTGGGTAAATGTGTTTACCTTGCTGTGAGCTACTGCTGCCTCAGTGCAGACCTGAAGCAGTGGCGCCAACCAGTCATGAACTGGTCCCTCCAAAACTGAGTCAAGATAACCTTTTTGTCTTTATAAGTTGATCATCTCGGGTATTTTTCATAGCAGCAGAAAGCTAACAAGTGCTTTATAGTTTTATATACTTTTTATATTCTTTCTGCTTTTCCTTGGTTTTCATCTAATCCTTGAAGTGGGATTTTACCTTATTTACTTATGCATTGCAGAGCACGTGAAAAAGATCATGCACATGCACCTTATGGAAATGCTCCAGCAACCACAAGGTTAAGCATGGGATTCACTCCCCCTCCCCGCCCCTGCATCCCACCTCTCCCTCTCCCTGCTGGATTCTGTAATCTTGGTTTGTTCAGCAGCCCCCTGGTGGACCATGCCCTGCACTGAGGTTTCACACACAGCTTCCTTTTCTATCGACCACACTAATTCCTTTCATACGAGAGGGAAAATCTGTCGCCCAGGGTGTTTCTCCTCTGTTTTATTTATGAAAACTCCAGTGGGTGTTTCTTAAAGCACCCAGTATCTCTCTCTACAGAAAGAAGGAAAGCAGTGTTCACAATGCCTGCGCTGTTCAGCGTTGCTGTAAAACACCAGAGTATTTCTGCAAATGAGCACTTCCTCTCTGAATTGGGAATGGCTCTCATTTCAGCTGAGTTGCAGAATACTAAAGTCCACAGAGCGTAAATAAGCCCAGTTTATGCACATCTGTCCATGCACAGGGAACCTGAATGTCCCTGGGAACCACCTGGCCATGGAGAGAATTTCTGCCTAGAGTTGGAGCTCTTTTGCTACGCTGCCTCAGATCCTGCTGAGTCTTTGCAGCAATGTTTAGACTCAGCCAGGATGGAGGCCAGGCCATTTTGGAGTATCCACCAGGCCACTGTCTCCCTCCCAGCCCCGGCTCTGCTCTACGGAGTCCTCAAATCCCTCTGCTACAGGACTGCACCTCCATGGTGTTCAGCAAGCGTCCCCTATATCCAAGGCACATCTCCCTCTCTCTTCAGTGGCACATGCCCCTTTTCTGAGTCAGATGCTGTGTAGGAGAAAGCTGGCCTCTCAGGAGCCGGACGTGCATCGCCGGGCTGGGGCTGGGGCCAGGGCTGGGACAGGATTTCTCTTCCCTGCCTGGCGTGAGCCAAGCTTTTGCCGGTAAATGGCAGTCTGCAGCTACCACGCCAGTTCCCAGACTGCCCCAGCTGTATTTGAGTCCAGCAGGGGCCAAGCTGCTTTGCTAGAAGCCTCTGCTTCCCTACAGGCACCACTTACCTGCCCTGATCGTAGGCACAGACATCTCCAAGGGCCACTTCAGTTCCCCCAGGCTCCCAGCAGCCTGAGTCAGGGAATCAGGACTCAGAGTCCAGGCAATGCAGTGCTGGGGGCCTGAGCTCCACCTGGCTCCAGCCTGGTACCACCCTTGCCTGGGTGTGGCTGGCCCTAGCAGACCTTGAGCAGTTCTTACAAGGCTACCGAGGACGGGAAGGGCTCCTCTGGTGAGGTGCTCAGAGGCACTGACAATCAGACTCAGCAAGTGATCACCATAAAAACTATTGATCTGGACGAAGCAGAAGATGAGCTAGAGGACATTCACCAAGAAGCTGACACCCAGAGGTGGCCTGACAGTCACGGCCTGATCATGCGGGATGGATGCACAATCACCTGAACCTGAAGGATGCACAATCACGGATGAACATGAAATATC